TACTACTACTACCTTTACTACTACTACTATTACTACTACTACTACTACTACTACTACTACTACTACTGCTACTACTACTACTACTACTACTACTACTACTGCTACTACCACCTGCTCAAATAACGTCTTTGCTGCTGTTGCTTGTGCTAACCCTGTTCCTGTTTCGGTTCCAACTGTTGTTTCGCTATAACTGTGGCGATGGCTATTGCTTTCACGGTTTTGCATGCCCATTACCCTCTTTATATGTATTAGTATGAGTATCAACACGAGTGCCAATACTGATATTCGTATTAGTATTAGTACTCATGTCGGCGATAGAATTAGTATCAGTATTCGCATTAGCATGAGCTGGTATGACTATGACTAATTATGTTTGTGACTCTGACGATGACCCTGGCTATTGCCATGATCAGGACTATGCCTGTGTCTGTGACAATGACTATGACCATGGCTGTTGCTATGGCTGCGAACTCGACTATGGCTATGACGAACTATGCCAATTCCTATTGCTATGGCAACAACCATGACCATGACTGTGACGATGACAACGACCACGACGATGACTATGACTACCATTACTACTACTATTTCTATTGCTACGATGACTACCACTACCTCTACCAGTACCACTACGACGACGACGACTACTAACTACTAGGGTCGGACTGCCTGTGATACAGAACGGACTTCTATGAGTGCACCGAGGTTTGATCCGGTGGCAAGCTCGGAACCCATAAAACAAACAGTAAGCGCCAGCGGCAAAGAGGATACCTTGACACGAACAATATTTGGAGAGAAGTGTCTACAAACTTCAATACACCAGCCATGCAGACTCTCTACGCTGCAGGTTCGACAAGCTACCTCCAGTCTGCTTGATGAACGGTGTCAGGACATGCCACAATGTCAGACGAGCTTCCCCTTCTCGCGCCCATACCATCTATCTCTGCTGGACGACCTGAAACAGCTTCCTATGCTTTAAGGTGACAAACAGCCAGGGTCAAGGATTTAGGCTAGGGACGCGGAGGTTCCCCAAGGCCCATCGAAGAAACCGCGACCATCCAATTTCTTCATGGGCGGCATGCTGTCAACAGCTAAAACAAACAACACAACACATCGAGACTGACCAATGTTCCGAGCGCATCACATCCCCCAAAATCCCAGCCGAGGTTTTTAAACATAGCGTGAGTCTCCGCTCTCCATTTATCCCCCAACATGAGTCAGAAGTACGTACATGAACGCTTATCACCACTCCATAACCAGAGCGATGTCAAAGGCCACTGCTAAGCCAGTGCGGGAACGTTGAGAACGATCACCACGGGTTTCACTGTGCATGCTTGTCAGACAACCCCGGAAGCGAATCGGATTGCCAACCTGGAACGAGACCTCGAGCCACCCGCGCCGCGCCGCCTGGCAAACAACGAAAAGCTGCGTAGCGGGTTCGTAGTGGGCTCATGACAACATGGCATCTGAATTGTCGAGGCAGATTTCCCAAGGGTGGACTGTGCTGGCAAGACCTGGAGGATCTGGTTGACGAGGACGACCTGCATGATCTGCACGATCAAACAGCCAAGAGTTTGCTTTACTGAGTGATGACAATGCAGCTCAGCCATCAGCCACCAGCATTCACGTACAGAGTGGCATTCCCTACCATACGCCTCGCGTGAATCTAGCAAAGACCGCAGTCCAACACTTGTGGTAGGGGCCCGGGAAAGATCCGCAACTCAACAGGAACCCCTGCTTAAGAGGACCCGCGCCTCCGCCGCCTTCGTGTCGGGCTCCGTCGCTGACTCCTCGCCCCAAGAGCTGGTCGGATTGAGATCATTATGGTTTAGGGTTTATAGGGTTTAGGGTTAATAATGATGAGGATCCCGGCTTTTGTGGTCGAGTTTCGTGCCTAGGGTTTGGGCAATATCTTGGAGTTCAGGGTGCAAGATGTAGCAATAGATGCGTCAGGCCTACGTGCTTGCATGCGGGTTTCGCTAGCTCCGCGGTACTTGAAGCAACATTCTGTCCACCGGCAAAAAAGTCATGTCGCAGACTGACATTCTGGCCCATCCTCGATCTGAACGGCGAGGTTTTCGAGCCTGTCCTGACGGTTCTGAGGTTGCATGCAAGCTACAGCACAGGAAACAGGGAATGTAGAGAACAAAAAATAAGACATCTTAGCTATTTCTCATCAGTATGAGACAGATGTGTGTAACAGTCAGAAGGTAAGGAATGCATGCGGTCCTTCCGACAAGCGGCATGGTCAAAATCAATAACCCAAAACTTGACCCAAAACCCCAATTTTGTCTCAGACAAACGTGGAAGCACGTCGCTTCTGGAGACAAGACGGGGAGGCACAGCTTCGAGAACGAGGGAGACTATGACTTCAGCGTATGAGGCAAGTGAAGGGGGCTGTAATCACACCCAGAACAGGACCTCGCCTCGTGTCGCGAAAAAATGGATCTGAATTCTGAAGTTTCTGAAGTTCTAAAGCCGGATCGACTTAGTTGAGCTTCTTGCTTCGGGGTCTGTGCTTGACAGGACCAAGCCTCAGGGCCCATCCGAGGGCACGGGCCCTGACTCCTGCACAGTCCATGCTACGACAGATCGCATCCCGGCCTGCGGTCG